CCAGTGAGCTCTGGCCCCCAATTTCCACTCCCATAAGCTGTGCTGCAGGCGCCAGCCTGCCCCGTACCTCCCCCCATCAAACTGGTCTCCGCCACTCTTTTCCTCTATAACAATAGCAGAAACCAGAAGTGGTTACGACTTTCTGGTATTTGAATTGGCCTTTCTCTAATTACAGGAAGGGGCAGCACCTTTTCTTGGGTCTACCGTTTACTTATACTTCTTGGAGAAATGTTTTATCCGTTTCCTTGGCTCCAAAACTCTCGCCTCCCCTCCCTTAATTTATACCCTTTTACACATGCAATCACTGCACCAAAATTGTGTGTGTGTGTGTGTGTGTAGTCAAAAAAGGAAGCCCAAGTAGTAGTGATGTTTTTATTAATATTTTTGATTCAGTTATAGTCTAATTGTTCCTTCCTTTCATTTTTTATTGACTCAAGCTACATTATTTTGTAATCAGAAAATACAATAAAGTTATGCCACTTAGAAAAAAAAGAATTCAAGTATCTGTATCTATACTTATAAAGATTTCCCAGTTAACAGGGAGGCCTCATTGATTTGGTTGTTAATTTGTACTGCATTAAGAATATTTTCTCTGACTGCACAGGAAATAGCAACTTTCAAACCGCATATTAAAATTTAAAAACATATCCTAATAAACAAAACCAGTGTGTTTTTGATATTATTTATAAATTGATGGACAATATGAATCTATAGTGAGCTGGTCAGCATTTTAATTATGACTTTTAGATAAGTGAACTACTATCCCTTCTTCCTGGCTGAACTCATAGTATTAGGCATCAGATTACTGAGATCTTCATACAGCAGTTCTCAACCTGTGGGTCGTGAACAATGAAAATACATCCTGCATATCAGATATTTACATTACGATTCATAACAGTAGCAAAATTACAGTTATGAAGTAGCAACAAAAATAATTTTATCGTTGGGGGTCACCACAACATGAGGAACTGTATTAAAGGGTCGCGGCATTAGGAAGGTTGAGAAGATTGTTGGATGGCTTTCAAAGGACAGACTTTATGTAGACCCCCAAATTCAAATGAATCGTATATCTTCAAATGTACCTTACAAATTAGTAACTTCCAGATTAGCCTGCTCCTCATTCAAAGGTCTTTATTTAAAATCTATTCTGAAGTTGCATGGTGTGTAACCCATCCAGAAATTAGAGAATTCCCTTTTATCCCATTGATAAAAGTGAGATTCAAGAGATGGACTTTTCATTTAATTATGAGCCTGGTACGATATCTCCGGTGTCTATCATTCATGTGCTATGTCGTTCAAGCAGTGGTGAGTGTTTTGAATCTTCCAGTAGAGATAGTAATGAGGGTCTGTGGGTGTCTGAAAATCACTGCAACACCCCTGAGATCCATGTAGTTTCCCCTCACGAAAAGCACAGTTCACAGAATCCCAAGCAGTTTGCAGAAGAAAGAGACCTTTTCATTTGCTGTCTTTTGTTAAAATTTCCCTGAACCACCCCTACAAGCCCCCCAGAATAATCCCAGAACTCAGGGACAAAGTATGCAGAAATTAGTCCCCAGACATCCAGCTGTCTCTGCTGGGGAGTCATATGCTAAATATAGACCATTAAGGCAGCCTCCTTCTTAGAACATTGAAATATGACACCCCAGCAGGAAGCTCCCCAAGTGAGAGGCCCTGTGGGGGAGGCCCTTTCAGGAGATTAGCCAGGGAGCCCAGAGTGCCTTGCTGGTGAATATTCAGGAGTCAAGAACAGGTCACAACTTTCTGGTTTTCCTCAAACTTTTATAGTGCAAACTCACTCACCAATTGTACTCCCTTTCTCTAAACCCCTACTTCAATTGTTTTGCCATCATTGCCTTATACTGTTCTTTTTCTCATCCTTTATTTTATCATAGACAAGTGAATTCTATTGATTAAGCTGTATAAACAGAACTTGAAGGTTCAACTGTCCATCATTAAATTTTTGGCTACTAAATACTTACGTAAGAGGCTTTTATTTGTTTTAAATATATGCATGAGAAAGAATTTACGAGTATGTAAAGCTTAACAAAGCTTCAAGGACAAACATTCCACTCTTACCTCTCCTCACTAATATACAATAACTCTCTCCTTTGGCATATTTTCCAATTGTTCCAGTGTATAACCCCTGACCATTTTCCCATTCTGTCAGACCTTTCCTGTTTGAATCCACTCCCTTTATAAAACTTCCTAAACCCCATGGGAATAATAACCCTTTCAATTCTCTTACTTCTTTGTCATTTTGATCTACAATTCCTACCAAGGAATGTTGGGACTAGCACTTAAAATCTACTTTGCTTTCCATTATACATTCACCAACAAATATTTAAGGGCAAGTTATTTGCCTGACCATTTCAAAAGTGAAAAAGGAAAATCCTTAAGCATTTCCTCAGACATGCCTGTTGAAAGTTCCTGAGCCTGCAAAAGGCTATGGGAAGTCAGTATCTAAAGGACCCTTCTGGCTTTAATCAGTATGTGGTCATATGTGACCTGTAACTTACAAAGTGTCTGGAAAAAAAAGATAGGCAGATGATAACACTAAAGACATTATAGAGGGTGAGAAAAATAAATTATAGAATATTGTTATCTTAATCTATATTATTTTTGGATTTTGTTATTTGTTTTTACATTGTGTATTAGTTGATCTTGTTTGGGTGCAAGCAACAGAAACCAAACCTGGTGAACTCAAACAATAAGAAGATGTTGAAAACCAGGATCAGCTCTGTGGGGTCTATGGCATCTTCAGGATGCCATAGTTCCACCAACTTGCAATTTTTATCAAGGTTCAAGATATAAATTTTAGTTTTCAGTTGGTCTGTATTATGTACAATGCCTACTCTTTTGCTGCAGAAAATGAAGAGTATGTAAAATACACTTTCTTTTCTGAGAGAAATTTAAACTGTTTCAGATGTTGTTGATTTGCAGGAGCCTTTTAGCAACTTTGGATACTAACCCATTGTCCAGCTGTGACTGAGGGCTGGGAACCTATTTACCACAGCATACCTTAATTTTCACATTAACTGAACATTAAAGAGGTACAATTCTAAAACGGTGATGCACAGGTTGTCTTCTAAGCCAAAGCTACCTGGTTCCCTGAGAGGATTCCACGGAGTTGCATCTACAGTTCAGGGTCTTGTCCTCATTGTTGCATGATCAACCACTGATTTTGTCTGTATGCTGAAAGCAGAGGCTTCTGTCAAAAAAGACCCACATTCATAGAGACTTGTATATAAATCTAGATCTGAATGTCCAAACCATGGCTCTCTGCATCCTTTCCCTGTAATCAGGCCATAAGGGAAGTTGTCTCAATAGGAGTTACGACTGAATAGTTTACCCTGAGAAATAAATTTGTCAGGGTTACTGGAGGTTTCCGTCAGTTTTACCAGCCCATTCTTTTCCTGTAGGCAAACTACTATTTGGGAAATCATACCTCAGGAAGTTGCTTGTGAGCCTGCAATCAGAGCAAGAATATTGGTTCACCTTAAGAGATGGCTTGCAGCTAAGGAGGCTTGAAGTACTCTTGCACATCATGGGTATAGCTCTGCCAAGAAAAGCTAAATGTTCCAGTCATCTTAGCCAAGACTCCCTCTCCTCCAGACTGTGCTTGGGTGGGAACTACCAATACTTTCTTCTGACTCTCCTTTTCATATACTCCATGCCTAAATGAGCCCCTTCACTGCACATATTTCTTTAAACACAGAATAATATAGTTGATTTGATTTCTTTTTACTAAATTTCAGTCACTTTTCTAGTACTGCCTCCCAAATGTTACAGTTATATGAATTTCCCTGGCGTTTTGCCTATTCCCAAACTTTCAGTCACTTGATTTACTCCCATATTGTCTAAGGATTTAAACAGTTAACTCAGATAATAACGTTATATCTGAACTATTAGGGAATAGCCTACAGCAGACTCCATATTCTGACATTATTTTGTTACTTTCCCCAATATAAAAATGTTCAATTATTGCTGTAGGTGAATCACTGAGTTCATTAAATCAGTCAGTGAAATGGTTCCCCAGTAATTGATAGATGCTAATTCAGCCAATTTTATTTTGCTTTCAGTGTTCCTCTAACACCTATGTTAAAGATGATATTCTCTATTTGTACCCAAATATATTTTGTAATGTTCTTTGTATGCCACTCATTTTGTCAGTTGTGCATGCCTGTTTATCTGACAGATAACCACTACACCATTGTGGTTTCTACTCAATATTTTCTTTGTTATTGGCTTCTGAGGGCTCCATGCCTCTTCTTTGCTAACTGATGCAAGTGATAGTCTGTAGCTCTCTTGTTTAGAAGACTTGCCTAGTCCGAAGATTTATACATTCTCAGACACACTGATTAGCTTATACAGGGTTGTGTTATCTGCTAGGCCCCAGAAGACACTAAGATTGCTTTGAGTGAAGTGTATAACACTCCCCACAAATGAGAAAATGTGGGACTTTTGGAGGCCATCCACCCAACCCCACTCTCTAACTCCCACTCTTTTTTCTCTCATATGAAAATAGATTTATAGTAATTTTTCTCATGAAAAGAATGCAGGCAGGGGGCGAGAAAGGGCAGAACAAAAAAATATTAAGGAAGTAAAAACCTCACTCTCACTCCAGGTCTCCTTTACTAAAGTTATTTTTTGGTTTCAGATCTGGGACTAGATTTCAGAGGAAATGGTAGACATTAATAGCTGGGAGGAGGGGAGGTGGAAGGAGAGGTTGCTGCTGTCCCAGGAGCCTAGAGAACGAAGAAGCAAAATTTTTCAAAAAGTACAAGTGGCCAGTAGTCCCAGGGGAAGATGCTGTCTGTTTCTGGCAATCAGAGGAAGGCAAACTCAACCACAGGGAGATGGGATTAGCAAAGAAAGAGTAACAAGGCCTGGTATGGGGGAGGGAATGTAGGGGGGCGGGTCCTCTTCTGCCGCACTGCTGGTGGGAGGGGAAATTGGGGACCAGAGTTGGTGGATGACGTAGCTCTCACGTGACCAAGAGCTGACGTGTGCAGAAGTCCTTCTTGTTCTGGTCGTTGTTCCGTCTGAGTACCAGCTACCCACTGCTCTGAGGGAGAGCGGGCCTGTGGCTGAGGGAAGAAGGAGGAGGAGAAGGAAATTGTCCCGGATCACAGCAGGTCAGTGCCTGGGAGATTCCATAAAGTGGGGGCGGTCCAGAGCGTTGGGCGGAGACCGTCGCGGGTCCTGAGGCGCCTCCGTAGTCTTTCCCACTCGCCACTGGCTTTCCAGGATATCTGTCCTGCCTGCAGCCCATTTCGATGCTGCGAAATAGTGCCCAGGCAGGAGTTTGGGGAGCAGCCCAGAGATCAGAAGGTGGGAATCTGCTGGAAGCCGAGACCATAATCCGGAAAGGGAGCTGTGGCCTTGGCATTGGCCCCCTGTCTTCCAGGACAGTGCCGACCTGGAAAGGTTGGGCATGGGGAGTGAGGTGGGGGTGCAACATGATGTGTCAGCAGAACCGGGAGTGGGGTGATAGGGGTGGGAAACCTTTGAAAACCAGGCCTCCGAATTAGGAAGGAATTTCATGTTCTGGGGACTGGTCCGTCCACCAAGCACTCGGTAGCTGCTGTTTCCCGTCTTTCTGACTGTAGCTCTGTCGTCCTGGCTGTTTAGTGGATCCGAGCCTCTCCCAGGTTGCCAGTCTTTCCGTAGTTTGTGGCTCTACGCCAGACAAGTGAAGAGGAAGGAAATTAACCCTGATCAGTGAAGGTCGATTTGAGGGTAAGGCCATCTGGGGACCCTAAGAGTGGCGGTGCGGGGGGGCGGGGGGGGGGGAGAAACCGGAGATGGCAATAATCTAGGTTAGGTCTAAGTCTGAGTATGTTTGTAGCACTCCTGGGGCTGTGGCAAAATGGCATGCGTTGTGTGCTGTGTGTGTGGAGCGGGGGTAGATAGGGTGGGAGAGAATGATAGAAGGGAAACCTATCAGATAGTTTGTTCATAATCCTCCTCTCTCAACAGTAGTTAGTCTCCATGTTTTCGATCTGTCATCTTGTAGGTTTGCTGTAGCAGGTGGCACCACTTGAAGCAAGGGAGGAAGTTTCCTTGGATCTGCAGAGGTCGGTGTGGGCGTGGGGGCTGACTGGAATGGGGGAGGGGCTGGAAATCAGCCATGGTTGGACAGGCTCACCCAATCCTACCTTATTTCCCCAACATCCCTCCTATTTCAGGCTAAGGAAGGGGCAGGCATGTGCATGTTTTGGATGACATAGAGGGTTTTTTTTTTGTTTTGTTTTTGTTTTTTTTAAATCTGACAACCTGGAAGTAAATCAGGAAAGCAAGGAATGAAGTCAATCAAGCCCTCAGTTCTCACTGGTTCTGGTCTCTCTGCAGATTGCAAGGGTTGTTGGGTGTGGCACAATTCCAGGGGAGGGAAGAAGGGGCAAACTGCCTGTCTGGAGGAGGTGAGTGTAAGGTGACGTTCTCTGGGGACACCCTAGGTCGGGGTGGCTGAGGCCCTAGCAGAGACTATGGGCTCCATTGCCTTTATCTAGGCTGGGGAGAGTTTGGCCTCGGGAGGGTAGAGGAGGGTAAAATGAGGGGGATAGAGAGAGTTTATTAACAATCTACATTTCCTACCAAGTACTCATTTACTACTCTTCTGTCCCTCTGTGCAAGTCCATGCATGGGGCAACACAAAAAGAAGAGAAACTCAAACCCCATTTTCTTCCTCCACCTCTAGGTTCACTTCGGGTATCAGCTCCTGTGGCCCTGAAGTGGCTGAAGACAAATACCATCCACAGACCGGCACCCAAGCCCATAGTTCTCCCCAAGCCTGCGTGACTACTCTGTTCCTTGGTCCCTGCTATTGTCAGGGACGATTGCATGGGCTACGCCAGGAAAGTAGGCTGGGTGACTGCGGGACTGGTGATTGGGGCTGGCGCCTGCTATTGCATTTATCGACTGGCCCGGGGAAGAAAACAGAACAAAGAGAAAATGGCTGAGGGTGGGCCTGGGGATGTGGATGATGTTGGGGATTGTCCTGGGGCCAGGTACAATGACTGGTCTGATGATGATGATAACAGTGAAAGCAAGGGAATAGTATGGTACCCACCTTGGGCCCGGATTGGGACTGAGGCTGGGACCAGAGCTAGGGCCAGAGCAAGGGCCAGGGCTACCCGGGCTCGAAGGGCTGTTCAGAAACGGGCTTCTCCCAACTCAGATGATACTATTTTGTCCCCTCAAGAGCTGCAAAAAGTTCTTTGCTTGGTTGAGATGTCTGAAAAGCCTTATATTCTTGAAGCAGCTTTAATTGCTCTGGGTAACAATGCTGCTTATGCATTTAACAGAGATATTATTCGTGATCTGGGTGGTCTCCCAATTGTTGCAAAGATTCTCAATACTCGGGATCCCATCGTTAAGGAAAAGGCTTTAATTGTCCTGAATAACCTGAGTGTGAATGCTGAAAATCAGCGCAGGCTTAAGATATACATGAATCAAGTGTGTGATGACACAATCACTTCTCGCTTGAACTCATCTGTGCAGCTGGCTGGACTAAGATTGCTTACAAATATGACTGTTACTAATGAGTATCAGCACATGCTTGCTAATTCAATTTCAGACTTTTTTCGTTTATTTTCAGCAGGAAATGAAGAAACCAAATTTCAGGTTTTGAAACTCCTTTTGAATTTGGCTGAAAATCCAGCCATGACTAGAGAACTTCTCAGGGCCCAAGTACCATCTTCACTGGGTTCTCTCTTTAATAAGAAGGAGAACAAAGAGGTTATTCTGAAACTTCTGGTCGTATTTGAGAACATAAATGACAATTTTAAATGGGAAGAAAATGAACCTACTCAGAGTCAGTTTAGCCAAGGTTCACTTTTTTTCTTTTTAAAAGAATTTCAAGTGTGTGCTGATAAGATTCTGGGGATAGAAAGTCACCATGATTTTTTGGTGAAAGTAAAAGTTGGAAAATTCATGGCCAAACTGGCTGAGCATATGTTTCCAAACAGCCAGGAATAACTTCTTGATTTTGTAGTTTAGAAGCAACACACATTGTAAACTATTCCTTTTCTCCACTTTGTTTATATGGTAAAGGAATTCTTTCAGCTACCAATTTTGAATATCATATTGTATCATCAATGCTGATATTTATCCGAGTTGATCTTTAGGTCTAAGCTGGATGAATGAATGTCACTACATGTTCTGAAAACATGTTTGTTGCTTTATATCTCACTGCCTAGACTGAAATATTTTTTACTATTTCTTCTGTATAAATGACAGTGAACCAATTCATCCTAAATAAGTTCCCTCCTGTCATTTGCATTAACTTCATTTATGTATCATCAATAAAGTTGCGTGTTAATGCTGAAAAGAAAAAAAAGAAAGAAGAAAGAAAGCATCCTTGCCCTTTTATTTATAATCTTGTTAGAGAGATTAGAAACATACAAACAAAATAACTGAGACTATCTGGACTCATTGTCAAATATTCATTCTCAGAGCACAGAGGAAGCAAAGGCTACTGTGGGGTACAGTAGTCAACTACAGATTTATGGAGGAAATTACCATTTCAAAAGAGTCCTGAATGAGATGGGAGTGAGAGGGCACTGATGTGAGATAGGCATGGAGGTAGGAATGTTCTCCCTATGACAGTGAGAAACTAGTCTGCTTAGAGTAGAGCATGTAAGGAATGGAAGTAAATAAATTTGGAAAACTAGGTGAAGCCAGTTTGTGGAAAGTTGTTTGAACATTATTCCACTGAATACAAAAAGCCACTAAATATTTTTGACTAGAAATAATAATTGGAATTCATATAAAAGTCCCTCTCTCACCTACTGTGCAATGTCTATGAAGGTGTGGCAAAACAGACACTTTCAAACCCTGGTGGTAGGAATGAATTTATACTGGCACAAGGCTTGTGGAAGGCCATTTGATAACACATATAAGCCTTAAACTATGTAAGCCCTTTGTCCTAAGAAAATAATTGAGAAATTGACCAAAGGCTACATGAACAAGGCTATGCATCCTAGCACTGTCTAAAATAGTAAATATTAGAAACAAGTGTCTAGCACATTGGATTGTTTAAATAAATTAAGGAATGTTCACATGGTATATGATAAATATGTTGATTTAAATTCATATCACCAAGAAAAGATATTCATAGTATGATTTCATTTTTTTGAGAATAATAAAACATATGTTTAAGTAGACACCAAAACTCTGAATTATAGACACCCAAATGTTTAAGTAGACACCAAAACTCTGAATTATAGACACCCAAATATCAACAGAGGTTATCTTTGGGTGGAAGGACAATGAGTGCTCTTACTTATCTAAAATGAATATTGATTTTTTTGGAAATTTTTGAAAAAGGAAAGTGTTGGGAATAAAGCAGGTGATTGGAGCATGTACTGAGTGGAAAAATTAGATTAAACATGAGATAGGTTGAAGTTTCCTCTCTGAAATGATAGATGAGTGCTGACGATGAGGCTTGTCAGGAGGATTAAATGAAGTAATACATGCAAAATACCTAGAATGTTCTGGCACATAGCAGTTATTTAAGAAAAGCAAGCACTTTTAATTTCCTAGAATGCAGGGTTAATAGTTTTTTGTTGTTTTTTTCTTTTTGGTTGACCTTTGTTTTGCTGGGGGCATTCTGCCACATGTCAGTGTCATTTAAAAAATAATAACAATAAAGGTTAACATTTATTGACTACTGTATAGAGTTCTGTCATTCCTGCAAGGCAACTGTTAGAATAATTTATCAAAGGAATAGTTCTTATTTTTAAGTTCTTATTTCTAAGGACTTAAAGTGTTTCCTCAGACATGATCTTACCAGCTTTCATAATATATTCTTAGTCAGTTTGGCGATGTTATGCTGTCTTATATATGAGACCAGGAAAGGGTAAAATCCTTTGTTTAGTTATGATCTGGTTTTAGCCCCAGGCTTCCATATACTTACTCTAATGTTTTATGGATTAGACAAAAACCGAGTGATTGGTTCGCTTAAAGTTTTTGGGCATGATGACTCTACCAAATCATGCACATGTGGAGATCCATTGGACACCAGCTTTAAGTGTGGGGTGAGGAAAAAGCGAAGTAACACTTTTCCTGCTCTATTATTAGGTAGGAGAAAAAGATTTGGGAGGGGAAGGCTAATCCATTTAAAATTGAGTTTGAGGTAACTGTGCTACATCCAAATGGAGACACCCATTATCATTTTAAAGTATTGATCAAGCTCTCAGAGAAGATGACAAGGCTGCAAATAAAGATTTAGAAACCACCAGAGGATGAAGACATGGGAGTGGATCCCCAGAGAGAAGGTGCAGAATATAAGAGTGGAGGGCTGCACAAAGAACGATGTAAGGGACTGTGGCAGCTGGGGAGAGAAGCACAGAATGGAAACTGAGTATATATACTTCCAGAAACTTTTGCTATCCATATACCAATATACTCTATACATAAAATTGAACAACACTGTATATAAATTTCCAGAGCCTGATTTAAGGTTTTTCTATTTTTCTCCTAAATTATATTCATTGGAGTAACTTGAGAAAATGGAAACAATGAGAACAAACTTGCCCCCTTATGTAGCTTGAAGATTTAAGAAATATTTAAATTAAACCATGCTGAACTTGGGGTACTGAATGACTTTCTTGCCCTGGGTGAAAATGAGGTTAACTTTAAAAAAAGCCACCATGAGGCAGGGGCACAGGCCTGGCCAGCGCCCATCTGTTCTTGCAGGTCTTTTGTCTCCTCTTCTTCTTTCTTCCCTTTCTTTTTCCTTCTCTTTATTTCCTCCTTCTTGGATAATTGGCAGTAGTCTCTTTGTGTTTCTGTCGTTTGGAGTGAGCATTTAATTCCCATGACACTAGGTCATGCACCAGGGGACACTTAATACAGAAAGAAAATGGTGTTTGCTGTGGTGATATGATGACTCTGGGTGACACTGAATGAGAAGAGTTTTTGGAACCCTTGTTGAACAGAGACTGGGAAGGAATTAGTCTTAGCGTGGCACAGCCCTATGTGTCCTGTATGCACTTTGATGTACCATACCTGGTACTGTATTATTTAGAACAAAATCACTCAGACTTTAAGAAGTGCTGTGTGAAATACATATGTGACTGCCTGATTTAGGCAGGCCACAAGGCCAGCCAAGCCAAATGATCATGTCCTGATGTTTTTCACATGAGAGATTGCCACACATCATTTTGTGAATGGCATAATTCTAGGATTGTGGCCATGATCGTGGCAGCTTATGGGAGCAGGGAGGAGGTAGTGTTCTCTCTTTAGTGAGGGTGGCAACTCCTGGGAAACCAAGGAGATTAGAAACTCAATATATTTCTATTTGGGTTTTGTTCTCATGTAATAGTTGTATAAATTTAAGTGGGTCTATTTCAGTCAAATGTGTTCAAAGTCGACTTTACAAAGATGGAGTATATAGTTCTTTATAAATTGACACCCTAAACATATTATTGCTTGGCTCAGGAAACTAGTTTTTTTTTTTTAAATTTATGTTTACTTGCCTTAAAATAAAACATTCAAAGCCCTGGCCAGTATGTTCAGTGGTTAGAGTGTTGGCCTGTGCACCGAAGGGTTGAGGGTTTGATTTCTGGTCAAGGGCAAGTACCTGGGTTACAGGTTCAATCCCCTGCTCTGGTCAGGGTGGGTGAGGGAGGCAACCAATCAATGTATCCTGTGTCTCTCTCACATAGATGTTTCTTTCTTGGTTTCTCTAAGAAGGATTATTTTCAATGCTATCTTTTTTCTGAAAGCAGTTTCATTTTATTTTTTTAAATTTACTTTTATTGTTGAAAGTATTATAGATGTCCCGTTTTTTCACCCCACTGACCCCTCCACCCTGCACCCATTCCCCCCTCCCAGGGCTTCTCCACACTGTTTTCTGTGTCCAGGGGTTATGGATATCCTATATAATAAAAGGCTAATATGCAAATAGACCAAACGGCGGAACAACTGAACAATCGAACAATGGGTTGCTATGACGTGCGCTGACTACCAGGGAGCGTGTACAGAACATGGCGGGCATTGGACGCGGTGGGATGGTGGAGCAGGTGAGTGGGGGTGCCAAACCAGGCGGGGCGCAAGTCACTGTCATCGGGACGAGCCTCTGGTGGTTACTGAAAATTCTTTGTTCCCACATGCCACGGTCCAGCCCGGCACTCGCACCCACTGCCAGTGCCGGCCCTGCTTGCACTCACAGCCGGCATTGGAGCTGCCGCTCACACCCGCTGCCAGTGCCTGGCACCAATCCCAATCACTCGGCGCCATCAGTGGGTGCGAGCTGCTGGCCCTGATCATCCCTGAGGGCTTCTCTACCTCCCCCTGCTCCTGAGGGGTGATTGGGGCAGCAGCTGTTGTTTGCACCTGTTGCTGGCGCCAGCCCCAATGCTCTACCTCGTCAGTGGGTGTGAGCGGGGGCCATCAGCATGTGGGAGGGCGGTGGCAGGAGCAGGGCTGCTGGCAGACAGGGGACCAGGGCTGTGACAGGAGGGGCTGGGCAGGGTCGTGGATGATGGGTAGAGACCCACCCCTGTGCCTTCTGCAGCCTTGTGGCCCACAGTTCCTAGTATGCATATAAGCTCTTTGGTTAATTTCTTCCCACCCCCTACCCCACTCCCACCTCCCATCTGAGATTTGTCAATCTGTTTCTGGATCTATTTTGTTCCATGCTTGTCTCTGGGTCTATTTTGTTCCATGCTTGTTCCTGGATCTATTTTGTTCATCAGTTTAGTCTGTTCATTGGATTCCACATAAGAGTGAGGTCATGTGATACTTGTCTTTCTCTAACTGGTTTATTTCGCTTAGCATAATACTCTCCAGGTCCCTCCATGCTGTCTCAAAGGGTAAGAGACCTTCTTTTTTATAGCTGCATAGCATTCCATTGTGCAAATGTACAACAGTTGTTTTTTTTTTAATCCACTCATCTACTCATGGGCACATGGGCTGTTTCCAGATCTTAGCTATTGTAAATAGCACTGTTAATAAACATAGGGGTGCATATATTCTTTCTAATTGGTGTATTGGGATTCCTAGAATATATTCCTAGAAGTGGGATCACTGGGTCAAATGGCAGTACCATTTCTTTTTCTTTTTTTTTTTTTTTTTTTTAGGAAACTCCATAATATTTTCCATAGTGGCTGCACCAGTCTGCATTCCCACCAGCAGTGTACTAGGGTCTCCTTTACTCCTCGTTCTGTCCAGCACTTGTCATTTGTTGATTTCTTGCTATCTTTTTCTGCTCATTTTAAATCACATCCTAGGGTGAAGGTTTCCTTTGGTTTCTCTGTTTAAACTGTGACTATTCCTTGCCTTTACACCAGAATCATCTTGCTGCCATCCAGGGGTGCAGAACTAGGATACTGG